CGGGTGGCATATTATGCTTGAGTCTATCGGAAGATTATACTATGTTATTTAGTTCTTCCGGTAAGCTAAAGCTATCTATTCTGAATTTATTAATTTTTCATTTTTCAAAAAAATAAAAATATATGCGCGTACTAAATTCATTAATTACAATCAAAAAGGAGATGGATCAGTTCGGGTATATTAAGAGATTATTTATCCTAAGTTCGGTGTCAATTTTTTTCTTTTTTGATATACTAATCTTTTTTTATTAAATTATAATAGGTTTGGAATACTGAAACACTAAAATGTCTTTATGTAATACAATCAAGTCATGATGTAGGGGATCTATTTTCAGTAGTTTATTCCGATTCTTTGGAAACTTTATATATTGGATGTCAAAATACCAGTATACAAGTAAGACCTTAGACTAATTTTTCATCAATTTGGAATTAGATCCTATATCAATTATGCTTTCAAATTTATTTACTCAAATTATTAGCAATTTGATTTGTCTGTCAAAGAAAAATACAGATCTTTGCATTTGCCAAATACATGTAAATGCTCTAAATTCTTTGATACTATGCCACCTAAATTGTCGGATGATAACAAAGGGATTGTGGCTGCTAATGTTTATGCTGAAATTAGTTATATTCCCAAAAATGAAATTGATGATATTGATATCCCAAGATACGAAATTGATGACACAATGGTATATTGGAATAGCCATAATGGATATGTGTATGCTTTATTATTGGGAAAGAATAAGGATGGTGAGATCTTGGTTAGTGGTACGTATTTTGATTTTATATGAATTTTAAAAAAGTATTTTTTTTTTAAATATATAGGTTTTTTCTTGTAGGATCTGGTGATGGTGATGTAAAGGTACATATAAATTACCATTGTATTAATTGCTTAAATTACCATCAATTGAAAGTATGTTTGACACTGCCCCGCTAGATTTGGTCTGTTGAGAAGAATTCAATGAACCTTTTACGAATTCTAAAAGGCTCAGATGCAGGTGTTCTGACCATTGCTTTACATGAAGATTTATTATTCTGCGGTGCCCAAGGTGGGGACATTAAGGTTTGTGTAAATTCTATAAGGTAGCTTGGGTTCCGATAAAAAGTCAATTAAAAATAACACCTATGAAAGATTTATGACATAGAAACTTATCAGGTAATTTGGAATATCGAAATTCTTATCGTTTTTATATAAAATTGTCAATGTTTCATATCTCGTGTCTATTTCTAGCATATACGTTCTCTCATGGCTCATGAGGTAAGTTTTAAGAACTTAAAATATACAATATTAACCTAAGTATTTGGGCATGAGTTTTATACAAGTGGTCACCGGTTAAAAAATTATAATTTAACTAAATAATAACTTGTAATATATACAGTACACATAATCACTTAATTATACATTATTTAATTACTAGGTAATATATGAATTTAAATATATTTACTAGTAAATATATTAAAATATACATATATTACCTAGTAATTAAGTAGTATATAATTAAGTGATTATGTTACTGTATACATCACAAGTAATTATTTAGTTAAAATATCTATTTTTTCTTACCAGTGTGGTGCTTAATGTCATAGTTTAGTAGTTCAAAAACTGGAAGTAATTTAAT